TGCTTTTTCTTTATAGATTTTTCTCTAATATTATTTTAATTAAGATTTAAAATAAAAATAATTAAAAAAGAAAATTGTGATCATTGTCGTCGCCATTATAAAAAATTTTAAATATTTTTGTTTTTCTTTTTGTTTTTTCTAAATTAAATAAAATAACATCTAAATATATCAGTGATCCTGACATTAAAAAATGTTATTTTACCACACACATTCCAAATAACTTTGTGTTTATTGCATTCTACGTGCTTATATACGCGCACTATACGAGATTTTCTACTTGAATAAAATTTTATATTATGATGCTTGTGCTCATCTTCAAATTGGTGCAACAAACCGATTAAAGTTTTCATTTATAATTGAAAATAGGTTTTTCTCTACTATTAAAGAGACTGTAAATATACTCGCGGTTTTTCATTTTTGTTGTTTTTTTTTTGTATTTTAATGCTATAAGAAACTAAAGCATTTATCAAGTGTGGACATAATGTAAATAAATAATTTAAGTGGCTATATATACATACACACATTGTCAGTATTGTGTTTCTTTTTGTTTGATTTTTGTTGCTTAAACTTTTTTCTTCTTTCAACATCTAGATCGTAAAATTTCAAAAAGTTTTTCAACAAGATTTAAAAATTTCAAAAATGTAGACAGAAAACCGCACACTTTGAGTTTTCTAATACACAACAAAACAATGATAAGTTGAACTGTAAGAAAACTCAATAATTCTTCCTCTAAACAGATTTATATATACATATGTACTTTAGTACATAATATGCAGCTTGTACTTGAAATATTAATTATCTTTACAATACAAAACCGTATGAAAATGATGAACTATTTTCCAATTATATACGTACATACGTAATTTCACCATGTTTTCCAAATAATTAAATAAGTAATAGTTATGTTACTTTTAAAATATTTGTGATAATTTTTAATGAAGTGACTGACTTCTTTAAATTTTTCTTTACTTAGCTTTACAAGTCTCATAACATTAAAATAAATGGCGTCGATATAAATCTATATGTTATATTACAAGATTTATAAATGAAAGACATGCGTACTTAATATTATATTAACCATATACAAATATTTCATAAAGAAAACCTGTACATATGTCTATACATACTTATATATGTATAACAATATTCTTTAACTTTTGCGGTTAATGAATTATTTTAATAAAAAAGAAAAAAGTAAAAGAAAACAAAAACAAATAATAAAATAAATAACGATGAACCAATGAACATTATAGCTTTAATTCAATATATTATCCTTTTAACATATATATATATCTTTACTTATGAATTATATGTATGTACGCATTTATGTATATGATGTGAACATACTGTACACACAGAATAATTACAAGTATTTACATAGATGTTAATAATTTTCCGCTATAAATTTATCAAATATGAAAGTATTTTATAGGAAAAAAATTAAAAAGAAAATGTTGCATTTTTGAATGAAAATCTTTAAAAATTTTCCATTTCTTTAATGAAAAGTGTTTAAAGAAAATTTTCTTTTAATTTACGTACCCATTTATGGAAGTATATAATTTTTTATTTTGTCGCATATTACAGTGCTACAAGAATATTATAAAAATTTACTCTATTTAATTTTGGAATTCAATTTCACCATGTTTTCCAAATAATTAAATAAGTAATATAAAAAAAAATTTTTTCTAATATAATATAGAAAATTTCTGTGATGCGCATAATTTTAAATTAATTATTCGATATAAAAATTTATTACTATTTGCACCACATAATGCTACCCCATTGAATTTAGTTCCTAAAATTGGTACGCTTTTCTAAATTTTCAGTATATTGAGTGTAAACATATCACAATTTTATATATACGTCATTCCATTCAGAGTTTATTATTAGACTCTAAACCAAAAGTACTATATATAAAATTGAATGACAATGCTCAGATTGTCAAGTTGGATAATGTAGTTTCATTTATAATGGAACATTTTAATTAAAAAAGTTAATCCAATAAAAAAATTTACTAAGAATATATTTTTTTTCAATAATGTTCTGTAATTGTTATACTATCTGTATCCATAATCTTATACTATATATAGATACAGATCACACATGCCTTATGTTCCTCAAAACTCTCTATAGGCACTCCAGTAATTCTCCTTCACCTATTCTAAATATCATTAAACAACAAAGATATTGTAGTTGAAAACTCAATATAAATTAGCAACAAATAAAGCTATAAATAAATAAAATAAAAAAATGTTGGAATATAGTTTATCAACATTATTGCAATGTTTACCGCAATATTGTCACTATTGTCAAGTCAATAAATTGAATTTACTCATTTAATTAATATTGTTGTTGTTATTCTCGCATATTGCTATTATTATTATTTTATTATTATTCTTGTTGAACTCTAAACAATAATTATAAAATGACAAAACTATTTATTCCGGCAATTATCACAAGTTATTGTTAAGTAAAACAATAAGAAGAAAACAGAAAAATAAAGAGAAAATAAAAATAAGCTAACAATATTTCTGGTTTTGAGTAATTTTTTTTTCTTTTTGTCTACTTTTGTTCCTTTTCTTTTGTACCTTCTATTTGTAATGTAATTCGTAATGTAATACAAACCAAAAGAAATCACAACAGTGCATACCACGTTTCAGTTTATGATAAATTTCTTAAAAAAAGTATAAAAACTTAACGTTTTCATTTTTGTTATCCTTGACCATCAGGTTTATTTTATTTCTTCAATTCATGTGTGAGTTTAATTAAAAGTTTTGACTCCAGTTCGTTTCATTAAGATTTTAAATTTCAATAAGATCTTCCAAAAATTCTTAATATAAAATTTAATATTTTTAGAACTTTGAAAGCTCATATTCAAAAAACTTTTGATTTATGGATCAATTTGATTATGGATCAATTAATTAATGACTGAAGATCTGAACAAATTTACTCTAATTTTTAATATTGTGTAGTAGAATAATTAAAAATTTGAATTGGGTCTGATCTTTCCTGTAAGAATATTTAAAATTATTCCTTATTTTAACAATTTCTTTTCTCTATTTTAAAGTTCTTATTAATTCTTTTATTTTTAAATCCAAGTTGCATTTTTTAGTAAATGAAAAACCTTGTTTTTCATTTACTAAAAATGAAAAACAAGGTTTCAGAACTTTCGACGTTCTGATTTTAAAAATGAATTTTAAAATCAGAACGTCGAAAATTTCCTATGAAAACTGTTCTTTTCATGTAAATTGTTATACTGTTTTAATAACCCATTAATAATTGCAAAAATTATAACAAAAAATTATTCAAAAATTTCGATTACTCGTAGTTGATCAAAAAATCTAAATAAAAACAAAAATTACATTTAAGAAACACAATTATTCAAAAATAACTTTTTATTTGTTTTTTAATTTTATTTGTCTATTTTACCTTTCCATTATAATTAATTTCACTATATAGGTAATTTTCCACAGAAGAATACATAAAAAAATAAAATACCTTTTCACTCATTATGTGTGCGTAAATGTAAGTAGGTTTGGAATTTATCCTTTCTATAATATTAATTATGATTTCACACATAAATACATAAGTACATACAGCATTATAAAAAAAGAAAATATCTTTCATATTTTCACAAATATGTATGTACAAACTTATATAAATATGTATATATATCTGCAACATAGATAATTATTTTAATATATACGAAAATCTGTAATTAATTAAAAATATAAAAATACTAATTAGTGCCGCATGTTTTAATATTAATATATGTTTGACTGAATATGTGAATTTATTTTTATTTTTTAGTGTGCAGGCTTATTGTTTTTATACAATATTGTACATTATATATTTGAATTATTTTGTATATACATATGTACATTACATGTTTATTTATGAAATAATAGAAAAACTTATTAATGAAAAATGGAAAAATTTATGTCTTGATGAAAAGAAAATAATTAATAATTAAAAATAGACGTAATTATTTTTAAGCTATATTGAATCGTTATCATTAAGAACATAAAATATACGATTCAGGATAATTCATTTATAATAGTCATGTACAGACATACATACATGTATTTATAATATTCTGTTTATATTCAGAACAAAATTAAAATGCGTAGGTATTAAAATGGATTTTTAGATGAAATGAAGAAAAAAAAATAAATTTTTATAAAACTTGTGTAGGTTGATGAAAAAATCCTTGTTAATTTTTTAATTTCATATACAGATTTTGTTATACAATAATAATTATAAAACAATAATAATATAATCATCTAGTTTTATGGTTATTAAATAAAATGTTAGAAATTTATTTATTCTTTTTGCAAAATTTTTCATTTGAATCCTTTTACTAATTATATATTTTTCGTGAGTAGTTAATATTATAAATATACTGTTATATGTAGCGTATGATAATGGAAAATAGAAATAATAAACAACGCATTCTGAGTACATACATATGAAATATTCCCATTGTCTTTGTTAAACAATATTTGAAATTATTAAATTAAATGTCAAATATATTATTCTGAGACTGAGATCAATTTAAAATTTAATTGAACACTTCAATAATAATGAAAAATTTTGATAGAACTCACATATTTAAGAAATATTTCTGAATTTACACAAAGCTTTCTAAATTTCCTTTCTGATGTTTAATTGAGTTGTACACTCAATACTGTATAATTGTATTACTAGACATGCATCGTATATGGAAACATTTTTTTTTCATAATTTAAATAACAAAAACTACATTTACAAATTTCATGTAATTGAAATAAATTATTGAAATTAACCTTATGAATCCTCATTATTTTTAAATTATTTTTAAAATCTCATTAATTTTTAGATAAGTATTAAAATTGAAAAAGAAAACCAAATATTTTGTACAAAAACATTAATAATATTTAAAATATTAAGCCTAACCAAATAATTATTCTAAATAACTATAATAAATGATAAAATTATTATTATTTTCTTTCTATTTTTAGAGCTCAACAATTTATTATTTTATATATTAATTTGCTTGTCAGTATTAGTTCAAGGAACATATTCTAAGCCAGTAACAATGAATGGTAATAGTAAAGAAATTTATGAGGAGGATACTATGCAAGAGAATAATAATAATGGTGAAAATTATGAAGATAAATGTGGTCGAATATTAGATTCATTTGATAAAATAAGGCAACAAGCTATTGTTGCATATAATGAAATAAATGGTGATCGACTGAATAATTATGTAAGTATATTGTAATTACAATTTTTTATATATAAGATGCATTTTGTAGAATCAAGAACGTATTGTAATCGCATTAAATTTTACAAAACAGAATTTCAACACAAAATTAATTTATCCGTGTTAAGAAACGTCATTAAAAATATTTTAATATTTCAAACGCGCGCAATCCTTTATCTTAATTTCAATTTGTCTTTTGTTATGAGTGCGTTTCATGAAATTTTTTATATATCACATTTGATTGTTATTTTATATTGAGTTTAGAATTTTCTTGAGAATAATAGGTCTTAGCGTAACTTTAATTTAGTATAACTTCAATTAAAATTGAAATCCGATTCAAATCCGATTCAATTCATAAGCGTTACATTATTAGAAAAGTATTCCAATAATTCCTTTTCAAACAAAATTGTGTCTCAGGTCAAATTTTTTCTAAATGTTGTAAAACTAAATGAGTAATTACAAATACTTATCAAATGTTTTTGAACATTACTTGGAATAGTTGCATTCATCATTTATAATTATTCTATTATTCTATTATTCAAAACGTCAGCGTCCACATATTTTGCTAATTCAATAATTTCTAACAACAATCCGTATAATTATTAATACTGTCAAATTTAAATATTCATTTAGCTGTCCTTTACTACATATTTTTCAAATTAGTATTAAACTGAGATTAAAACGTTCCAAATATAAGGCTAAAAAAAATCAAGTCAATAAGTTAAGAATATTTAAATTTTGTTTTTTATCTTTTATTTCCCCCCTTAACTTTATTGATTCGCTATAAAATTACGTTATAAAATTTATGATACTCGTAAATTATAAATATTTGAGAGAATGTTGTAATTTCAGAATTCGAGTGCTAACTCTCCCGCATTATCAGCATATTGAAACTGTAGATTATTTAACTCAAGCTCTCATTTATTGTCACACAAAATTTATTAATCTCTCGAATACTCACAAATTGTAATAAAGAGATTTTATAAAATAATTTTTTACTCCAACAATTTCTTCAAACAAAAAATATATTCCGCATCTTTTATATTGCTCATACAAATTCATTTTTTACCTTAAATACCTTGAATAACGCTGCTTCATTACAGGAGAAATAACTAATATAGTCATCAATTTAAAACAATCCTAGACAAATGAGCGTCTAGTTAATTTATTATTTAAATTTTTTCATATTGTTCATTTTGCTCTTATAAAAATTGTAATTAATTGCATTAAGGGAAACAGAATAAATATATTATTACGTTTGTATGAACGTATATCTCTTAATATAAATTTGCATAATTCAGAATGCACACACATTTAAAGATACATAATAAATATATTTGTGTAGAATATATTTCAATAAATTATTCTGTTAAATTTTATTGAATTGAACAACTCAAATTCATGTAAAATTAATATTATCGATAAGATACATAGGTAGTTATGCACGAATTTATGTATATACTCAGTTTGTATTTGATACTTAAATATATAAACAATAAATATTTTTATTTCTTCTACACATAAAGACCAATTTCCTAACTAAATACTTTACAATCTGCAAATTAAAAAGATAAAAATTTATAAGTGCCTATATGCAAATGCATATTGTATATTCAAAAGTTCCGTCGTCACTGCAATTTTTATAGTGTTGTTGTAAACCGTAAAATCGTGAATAGAATTATTAAGATATAGAATTTATTGAATAAAAAGTAAAATACAACAACAAAAATCCGATTGAAAATTAATTCTATTTATGAATGAAAATTATTGGAATTATTGTTGTTGTATTTCGTAAGTTACAAATACTTTTAAAACTTTTATTAATTTATATTGAAAATTAAAGTATGTGTTTTTAATTCTATAGCCGGTTAAAAATTAATAATACCTTTTGTTGCTTACAATTTTCATACATTTAACATTTTATATACTTAAATATCGTATTATTATTTTGATTCATCGATTCAGGTGAATGGCATTTTCTATTAAAATTGTATAAAATTCTCTACAAGAAAAAAAAAATTGGAGAGAAAATCAAAAGTGGTTTAAATCTTACCCTATAGGCTATATTTCATGAAGGTCGGTTGTTAAAATTGTCATGAGTGTGCATATAAATACGCATATTGTGTGCATTTTATGAATCACAAAAAAATAATTACACAGAAAAAAATGAAGTAGATTTTTCAACTAATCGTAATTAGCTGGTTTCAAATTAGGTGTTTTATATAAACAATTAGAAGTATTGACAACTTCTTTAGCTGTTTTAAAATTCACTATTAGCTGGCTCAACTATTTGGAATTAGTTGAATGCAATATTAAAAAGATTAGGTGATTTGTCTACTCATTTAGGTTTATTATCTAAAATAAATAGTTGGAAAAAGTTCAACTAATTTAATTAGATATTTCATCTAAACATTTACATAGTTATTTTAGAAAAGAAAACAAAAAAAAAAGTTTACAGTTTTTATGTAAATTTCTAATCAATGACTATATTTTTAAATATTTTGACTACAACTTTAGTTGATTCAGCTATTTCATTTTATATCAAAAGATTGACTAAAACATTAGCTGAACTACCGAAAACATTAGTTGAGTTATGAAAAGATCAAAATGTTTTATTTAGAAAAAAAAACAAAGTACCGCTACTTTTGTTCCTCAATAACTACTTTTCTAGATATTTTAGCTACAACTTTAGTTAATTCGGCCACATTATTTTACTTAAAAAGGAATTAACTAAAGCATTAGTTGAAACATCGAAAACATTAGCTGAATTTAGAAAAAAACACTTGTTTTATCAAGAAAAAAAATTCAAAATACCGCTACTTTTTTTGTATTCTAATTTTTAAAGTATTTGAAAAGAAGCTAGTATATGGTGAATATTGGTATAGTAAACAAGCATAGTTTACATTTTCAAGATTTTAAACAGTCAAGAAATAAAAACAGTGCAAATCGTATTAAAAGTAATACCAACAACTTTTTATGCAGAAAACACAGTAGGATATTCGAATAAAATTTTTAATTAATGGCTTATTCTATAAAACAAAATTTTGGAGCTTCTTTGGTAAGTTTTTATATAATCAAGTTATTTTGTTTAACTAACCAAAAATATTCAAATGTATTTTAGATTGAATTTGACTTCGAGAAAACATTTTCAGTGAAAAATTTGTTACCCTTTCGAAATGGGAATCTTTTAAACTTAAAATTATAAATTTTTATAAAAAGGAAGGATCAGAAAAACATTAAACTTTTATCAATTTTATAACAAGATATTCAAAGGTAATTTGAAAAATAAATTTTGACTAATTTTTAAAAGTTCTATAACAATTATTATTTTTGATTTATAGATTGTAAAAATTATACAACCACTATTCTATTAAATGCTATTTTGAAACCACAAATGGTAAAATTTTACATACGTGGCCGAAACAAAAAAGCAATGGAAAACTTCAATTTATTGTAGATGGACAGAAATCTTTTGTTTTTACATTAAAAATAATGTGAAATAACTAAAAAAATATTAAACAAAATAAAATTACTCGTAAATGAAGCAAAACTTAATTTTTAATTTATAGCATTCTTTTATTTTCAGGATTAAACCTAAATAAATTTAGAAAAGAGCCTAATTTGTTTAGATACTTTTTCTAATATAATAGGTAAAAGCCCTATTATAATTAACTAAAAAATAGTTATATTTTCTATTTTCTAACTAAATAATTAGGTATATTGTCTATTGTTGAGAATATTTTTTAACTATTTATTTAGGTGAAATTCCTATTTCTTTAGTTAAATTTCAAAAAGGTTTTAAAATAAATTAACTAAATGATTAGGTGAACCGACTATTTGCTTAGTTCTAATCCACCTAAATTTTTAGGTATTTTAGCTAGTATTGTAGATAAATCAGCAAATTTATTTGGTTAATTTTCCTAATTATTAAAAAGTAAATTCAGCTAATTTAAATTAGGCAATGTAGCTAAATAGTTTAGGAGGCTGAAAATCAAGCATTTCATTAGGTGATTTATACTATTGTTTTAGCTAAATGTTCTACTCTTTTTTTTCTGTGTATATCTATAAAGCACACAATCTTATATACGCATATAAACGACAATTTTAAAATGGATCAAAGGTAGAACCAAGAACTAAGTGAACAGATGTGAATTTAATGCAAAAAATTTTGAAATTCTAATTAGATTTGAATTTACTAGTAATATAGTCGGGAAATTTTCCAAAGGAGCTTTTAATTTTTAACAAAGTAATTCTAATAATTATTAATGATTAATAAAATAATGGAAAATTACTAATTAAACAGATTTAATTGTAGGAATTTAGAACACCATATTCGAACCATTTCAGATGTGAACTTTAATAGCTTACTAGTATAGCGAAAATTATGGACAATAATATGAGAATATCAAAATGTAACAAGTAGAATATGTTGAATATTTAGCTTTTCAAGCTGATCTTGTAGCATCAGAATAAATTGCACTTGGAAATGTTTTCGAAATTAATAATAGCAGTATTGCAAACAATTCCAAGTTTAACGCATAACCATAAAAACAATATGTTAGAAATTTGAATTAAATTCAAAAAAATATTATACTTATTCCAATACAAGAGCTTTTGATAGAATATTTTTTTGCTTTAATCAACACAAAATCATCATCTACTAATTATACAAACCAACCTTCACTAGTAAACATTGAAAGAATTAAATTTCTAATTATCAATGAAATTTTTATGATCACGTTCCACTGTATAAAAAATTTATTACAATTTCATTATTTTATTAAAAAAAAGGAAAAAAAAATTGTGACCGTAAAATTTTAATAAACCGCTACCACTTCAATAACCTTTATTTTGCAATGGCTTCTTTTTTTTTTCTTTAAAATTTCATGCAATGTATTATTAGAATGTCGGCATACAATTTATCTTTATCTTCAAACGTTATAGAATATTCATAAATCGTTTTTATTTTTAACCAATATTTTTGTGCTTTATTTTTAAATTTTTTTTTTGATAATTTCAAATAAAATTTACTGAAAATTGCATTTAACACTCATGTTAACATTCATATTCTGTCAAAATAAAAATCGTATTTCAATCAAGAATTTGGCATTATTAAATTTCTCTTATTTATTACTTCTCTTCTGTATATAAAATAATTCGATGGTGAGATGTAATAACCTTTTAACATTTTATTTACAGAAAATGATTTGTTCAATATTTTAAAATTATTAAATTTCCATTTAAGTTGCCGCATAAATGAGGGCTTGTTTAAGCCACAGAATTTCAATTAAGAATAAAAATACTCTTATAAAATTAAAAATTTTAAGCTCTTTTCTTTTGCATTTAAATTTTAAGCGACACAATTTTTTTTCAATAAATTTTTTTAATAAAATTAAAAAAGATGGGTCAATATAAAAATGCAAAATCATAAGAAAAGAAAAAAAAAATTCTATTTTTTTCGTGTTTTTTCTTTTATTTTTAATTTTAATAAAATTTATTTATTTTTTCTTTTTTGTTTTTCTTGTACATTTGTATAAAAATTACCATATACACATTAATTTAACATATTTTCGCGCATATTCACAACTTCCTTTCGGAAACTGACCAGACACTTGTTGAATTCTTTTTAAGTCGCGCGCGTACACAATTTCACATATTTCTTATCATTAATATTATTATTGTATTGCATTTTTTTTATAATATGTGGTGTACGCGAATATTATTCACTTGTACTTATATACATAAGAATGGAAAAGATTATTTGATATTGTGCTTAAAAAAAATACAAAATAAATAACAACAAAAAATATGATATATGTGAATTGAATATAATCAGTTTCCTTGGACGGGAGGATCAAAAATTGATTTAACCTTCGTAAGGTTGAAAAGACCATTTTTGGTCATACATATTTTTTATATATGGTAATCGTATATAATAATCTATTTATTTAATGGTATTTCTTGAAAGAATTTTATGACCTAATATAAAGTCTAATTAACAGAATGTTTTAATTAATCAAATTTGCAAGGATAATGAGAAACACATTAAGGAAATTTAGTGATATTAAATAAAATTTTGTGCAATAGTATAGAACCAAATTATTTGTAAATTAAGGGTTAATTAATTTCGATTGTCGAATTTAGTATGCTATGTATATTGAAATTTGCACTTAATTTTGTTATACAATAGCAATTATTATATTTATAAATCGGAAAACAATTAAAAAATCAAAACATTTATGAACTCATAACTGACTTAAAGACATAAATCATTTAAAAAAACTTCCAGTAATTTCTATATAAAAGTTCCTTGTTATTTATATCCACAAAGAATCTGATAATGCACATACACATAATATTATAATAAAAATATTACAAGTATTTTAAAATACACTGCACTTTACTTTTACTAATTCAATTTTAAACGATTTGCATTACATAAATTTTATTTTATTTTTAGAAATTTACAAGTTGAATACGAACTTAGAATACAAAATATATACTCACATATATATAAATAGTTATAGGTACGGGTATATAAAACAAATACATAAACAAAATGCATAATATTTATATTTATTTTTTTTTATTAAATAAAAATGTCGATTTCATTCACACTTTATGGGTCTAATTATGTCTATTCAATGCAGCGTTTAGACGCGATTTGTTCTCTTAGTTCAGAATATTTTATAATAGTATATTCCTATGTATATATAATGTTTGTATATATATATATATATATATATATATGTATGTATAAAGAAGCTAGTAGTTAAAAGCAAAAATAATAGAAATTTAGAATGTGTACAAATCAAAAATCACTCTAAGAATACAAAATAGCTAAGAATTTTGTAAATTGTAAACTTACCACGAGCCATTATACAAGCCATGTTAATATCATAAAAAGACAAAGATTTTTTTAAGTGTATGAATGTTTGTATTATGCAGAAATAATTTGTATATCTAAAAAATATTTTCAATATGCTATAAAGGCAATTAGATTAGTATCATTATAGTAAACCATAAATGCATATGAAATGGAATAAAATAAAATATGAGAAGAAAATTTTTACATATTGTGCAATTCACTAGTAAAGAAATGAATGTGCAAAATTATTGCTAATTGAACTTCCTTCCTTCCGATTTCCGCTTAATTCTCTAATTTTTATTCAGAGTTTATTAATTTAGTTTTTAAGAAAAATCAACAGATTTCATTTTAAAGTGTAGTGTGCCTTTGTTGGAATGAATATTTGTGAAATTCAATTTGATTTTATTCAAGTAAGTTTAGTTATTTAAAAAAAATTTAAGAAAAAAGGATAAATGCTAAAATGATTTTTTTTTAAATTACTCAGTTTTCTTCTCCTCAATCCAGACAATTTAAAAATCTCTGAATAAAATTTTTTAAGGTTTAAATTTGGAAAAATTAAAAAAATTATAATAGATGATTTTATATAAAAATTTTAGGAAATTGCTTAATTATTGCATAATGAAATTTCTGAAGCTCTTAATATTAAATACATTGACCAAAAATGTTACATTTAAAATCCAAAATAGCAAATATAATTCAAATTTTATGTAATATTAAAAATCAAGTTTCTAACTTAAGTCTTTTGTTTTTTTTTTCACATGATTTTATTAATTTCCAGTAACACACACAAAAATCGCAGTTGCTTTTAATTTAATTACAATCATTTGTAATTATTTCAATCACTTTCATAAAAATAACATATTCCATAATGTTTGTTTACATGCATTTTATGTTGATTCAATTAAATAGCAATCGCTATTACAATATTTTCAGTAAATGCAATATGCTATATCTAAGCTTTAAACTGGATTTCAGTTCAATCAAGATTTTTTGTGCTTGTTAACAATTTTTAAACAAATAGCAAAAATAATAATTTGAAACAATTCTCATTATTGTTATTTCTACGTTTTCTATACGCTTTATACATTTCTTTGCTCCAATCGACACGAGCCTTCTTTTGTGCAATCGTCAAATTTTTTGGGATCCATCGACAACACAGCTTTTTCACGGCAAGATGTTCATGCAATATCTTATGTACGCTGGTGGAACTAATGCCCAAGGATGCCTCAATCTCACAGTATGTCACATGCCGGTCCATCATTATCATTTCGCGCACAGCATCGATGGTTTCCAGCAAAACGACCGAAATTGGCCGACCTTCACGAAATTCATCCTGGAGCGAACGGCGTCCGAAACCAAACTCTTGGTACCAGCGATTTACAGTGGTTTTTGATGGTGCTTCATCACCAAAAGTCGAAACAAGTTGATCGAGACACTCTTGTCTCGATAATCCGCGCCGAAAATCGTAAAAAATCATCGCACGAAAATTTTCACGGGACAATTCCATTTTTTGACCGAGATGAATTTTTCAAGTCACTGTAAACAAAACAATTCGCGCTCGAATGACAAAACGTTCTGAGTGAAGTTGTCCTAAAAAATGTCAAACTTTCCAATGAAAGTGTCAGATTGTACCTGGCAGCACTAGTATTGCCATGACCCGAAATATAAATAGTGACCCTCGTATAGTTTAGTTTTATAAATGAGCTCTGAAATAATTATTAAATTTATTTCATCCCCAACTTTTATTAACACATTTATATATTTTGATTTTAAGACAAAAAGTGAATCAGATGGAATATTTAATATGGGACTATTAACCTTCAAAATAAGAACAATATTTGTATTAACAATTACATTATGCATCGAAGCAAATAAAACATATTATATAACTAATTATATATAATATTAATTTAATAACTTTAAATTTATTTTACAGGTTTCTAAAATATTCAATTTAACACATGATCAACAACATAATGAATGGAAACAGACACACTTTTTATGGTTATATCCAAAAGGTTATCCAAATAATGGTATTTTACCATATGATGATTATACACAACCAATACCGGTTGAACAATTACATCATTTACGTAAAGTTGATAGACAAATGGTGAGTTTTGTTTTATAACCGCTTGTAAGCAATATAATTCTATTTGTAAAAGTCACTTATTGTTGTTATTATTTAAATGCCGTATAATTTCTGGCATACCAAATTAAAAATCACTAATATTTTCGTACATTCGGTGCATGTTCATAACAGATTCAGGCACCTTTCTATTAAATCTTTCTATTCATATTTTACTCGCAAGAAAAAAACAAAATGAATGTTAAGAAAATCTGAATTATTATTATGTACAATCTATCAAATTACTTGATCTCAGTTAGAATTGTAACCCCAAAAAGCACAATCTTCATTATTAAATTTACAAATCTATCAAATTACCGGAAATAATTTACATTTTGTTTTCATTTAACCGGGAAATAAATAGTTTTGTTATTCTTAATTTTATATAATTGATTTTTTAATTGTGGCATAATTTACAAGAATCTATAATGTAGTTGAAAAAATATTACCAGTATTGTTAATAGGAAGCATTGCCTAATTGGAATAATTTACTTAATTTTTTTTTTATTAATAAACATTAGATGTTTTAGTACAACTGATTGATTTCGTATTACAGTATGGCAAGCATATACATAACATATAACGCTTATATAATAATTCAATTATTAAATTTGTTTCATTATTAAAAATATAAAGAAACTATTTTAATATTATTTTTTTTTATATTTTAATTTTCAGTTGGAAAATGAATTGACAGAATTATTCAAACGGATGAATTTAATTGCAATTGTTGCAAAAAAAATTGAAAATATTATACAAGCAGAAAAAAATGCCCACCGTAAATATGGACGTAATCATCGTTCTGTACAAAATTATTTTAAAACTCAAGCTGATATGGCAGATGATGTTATTAAAGAAGTTGAATATGCATTTAGACAAATTGGCTTAAAGAAACCAGAATTAAATGAACCAATTAATGTTACTGATCAAGATTTAAAAAGTGAAGTAATACATTGGGTTGTAACACGTGAACATTTAAAATTATTAAATTATGTACGTAGTGCATTTGAAGAAATTCGTAAAAATGAATGTTTGTAAAAGGTATATATATATATGTATATAGTGTTTGTAACACAAAATTATTATTAATTTTTTAAAACAAAAATAAATATTTGCTTAATATAAAATATTCGAAATAATGATGTGTAACCATTTTAATTGTATTATTATAAATTATTTAATTGAATATTTAAAAAAAAATGCATGTTATTGTGTTTTAAAGAAAAAACAAAATTAACAAGAATTTTTAAGCATAGAAGAAAGAAAAATATATGCAAAATATGTAAGAAAAATATTAAATGACGAAGCTACAGTACTTAATTACAAATTTAAAAATATAGATTAAATTTAATATAGATTAAATGTATATTGTGTAGAATGTAGAGAAAAAACAAAAAAAAAATACTTAATTTTATTTGATCTTAACCTAAAAAATATGATAAAAACAAAAAGCTTAAATTATTTTAATTGAATCTCAAATTAAAAATAAAATATTATAGAGTTTATCCTTACAGAAACAAAAACTCAATTAATGTACTATAAATTTTAAATTACAAAAAAAAAAAACAAAACAAAAGTTGTTGATAATCTACAAAATTTAGTGTGTAATTGTCCCCAAGAATTGTCCTCAAATGAAGTTGTTGTTTCATGTGTATTTTAAAATAAAAAAATGTTATACTTATTGTATTTGTGAAATCATTATACTATAATATTTGGTACCGTGTAGAATATATTCTCCTAAGAATCCTGTCAAAATTCAATGTAATTATTGAAAAAGATTTTAGTTTAAAATTCACGTGACATGATTTCAAATTTAAGAAAATCAAAATTTAGCACAATTTAGCACAAATGTACTCAAAAATTCAATTCAATAACAAATTATTATTGTATTGGAAAATTAATAAAAAGCAGTTTTAAAAATTTATGGAAAAAGTAAAGAATTTTAATGATAAAATTAATTTACACAATCTTACAAACTAAAAAAAAAATTATCAAAATTTATTGTACAAGAATTTTTTGTTAAATAAATATTTATTTTTTTTAGTTTATTTAATTACGAGAATGAAACAGGCAAAATTTTAATGTTATAGTTTTTAAGAATATCCAAAATATTTAATATTTTTTAAGAAATTTAAATTATTAAAATCTTTTATTATTTTTTATTAAAATGTCGAAATTTCATTATTATTTTTTTCATTTATAAATTATAATTTTTTTGTTTTAACAAATTTTCATTCATAAGAACTTGTAATGCATATAAGTAATGTGAAATTATTGTTTTGAGAATGAGAATGACTTCATCAAACTATAATTATGATATAATGGTCTGTATGTCGTCAAAATCGAACTTGTATTCAATTTATAATTGAACTTGTATTTTATATTTTGTTTATTAAAAAAATGTTATACATTGTTTGAATATATTCGGAAAAATTTTATTGTTTCTCGCGTATTCTTAGAAATTATTACACTTTTCAATTTTATATTGCGAAAATAGTTCAATTTATAAAATGAACTCAAATTTAAAGATTAAATTTAAAATTATCAAATTTGACTTACACAATTTTTGCGTTTAAACACTAATTTATTAAGAAAATTTTAAAAAATTAACAAAATATTTCTTGATTTTAACAAAATATAATTAAATACTTGAATAACACAATGTTATTTGAATATTTTAATAGCATAATTTTTTAAGGTAAGGAACTATATTTTCCTACTTTATAATTTACAAGTTTTACTTTAAAATACTTAAATTTTTATTATATTAATTTTAATTACAAATGAATTAATAGATTTCATATAACATTTAGCTAACAATTTCAAATTTGACCAACTTTTATTTAAATAAATAATTAATTTTCAATTGTTTGTTCAAAAAATTTTTTTGTTAATCAGAACTGAAATATTTTGTTTCTGAATTAGACGTGTCAACTGTTTGAACAACATAATTTTCGAACCAGGATATTTTTTACTTGAAATATCACAACTTTTAGAATTTTGTTAATAATCTTTTCCCGGAATATTTTTCTAATATTTAAGTATATAAAAATCAGGGCAAATATTCGTAATATTTATCGAATTCTATATTATTAAATTTCAATATTATTATAAATAATTTACAAGTTCAAAATTATATTAAAATTTTTACAAATTTATGAATATTGAAATGAATTTCTTAAATCATTAATTCACAATTACATATTATACTTAAATTCTCATATTTCAATTGCATAATTTTAAATCATTTTAAATTAGAATATTTATTATTTTCCCCTTTTATTTAAATTATTTATTTAATTAAATTTAAAATTTTTATTCATCATAATTATTATTCATAAATTATTTCATTATTGCATCATAATAAAAAATACAATACATTGTTGAGAGTAAATTTACAACAACAAACAAACTATTATAAAAATATTTTTAGTATAATTTATTTATTAAAATATTTTATTTATTTTTACAATTAAATAATTTTAAAATATTAAAACAAAATTTATAAATATAATGCATATTATATACAATAATAATAAAAACAAATAACAATAATTTTTAATAATATTACAAATTTCTTCATTATAACTATACTATAAAAATAATAATAGTTATAAATATAACTGTCATATATAAAAATATGAAAGTTGAATTAAAATACAATTTTAATTAATGAAAACAAAACACACAAACACATAAAAATTTCATATTATATGTGTATGTATGTATGTATGATGTATGTATGTATGTATATAAAGTCTAGGTCAATATTATAAAATCTGTAATTTGTAATTTAATTTGAAATGTATTATTATTATTACACTTATATATACATATAAATATGTATATGTGTATGCATGCTATGTAGTTCAAAAATAATGTTTTAAAAAAGGTATTAAGTATATAATTGAAAAATTATTTATAAATTAAAAATATATTATTATATAACTATAAAAATCAGATAAAAAAAAAAACAAAACAATACATAAGAATTTAAAAATTAGTTAATAAATTTGAAATCAGTATATACTTACATAAATATTTAAAAAAAAAAAAAAACAAAAATATTACAGTTAAAATTACATGTGTAAAGAAAAAACAAAACAAAAATATATAAAAAAAAGCGAAAATAAAATTAAAATTGAAAATAAATAAAATAAACAATGCATATATTATGTAATATTTTTATTTTTATATAGTAATTCAAAATGGCTGTACTGTAAATATCGATTGTGATATGTTCTGAGTTGTACTATGTTCCTGTACTGGGGTCCCGCATATTGGGTGTTGGTGTACCTATTTGATTATTGTTCACTTAATTCAGAGTGAAAGAAAGAATAATTTTAATCTATTTATTCCTATACTTATTTAATTTTAGATTAAAATTTCATTTTTTCAAGATTAATACCAACTTAGTATCTTTCATATTTTTAAAATTTTTGAATTTAGAACATGTATATTCCTTTAAAGTCACTATATATATTTTAGAAAATGCATACAAAGCTTTTAATACAGTTTGGAAAACAATTTTTACAATATTAATATATACTTTGACTTTTGTTCGAAAATTTCAATTTAAAGTTCTGTGCAAATGTTAATTTCCAACAAAACTTAATAACTAGCATTTTATTGCCGAAAATAAATTCTAGTTTATTTAATTGGTTATTTCTGGCAACATTTATGTGACATGTATAAGAAAGGCGTGCTCGATTTTTTCGATATCCGATTTACTTCTATTTTATGTATCCACTACGTATAGAATGCATTTTGGAAAAGTGTACAATGTCAAGAGCTTTTACTAAACTTTTTGGAACGTGATACTTTATAAAATTTGCGTCGTAAGCGCATTATTGAAGTCACGGTACTTACATAAAAAAATCATTTTATGTATTTAGTTCCGTAAGCACTTCTTATATATAAAAAAACCTTAAATAGCAAAAGTTCTCATTTGAGTAAGAAAAGCGAATTAAAATTTTGAAATCCTTATAGTATGAAAAAATTATTGCAATTTCCATCTTGCTCAATGATATAAGTATAATAATTTTATAAGATATTATAATTAGTACAAAATCTTTAGAGAACCATATGCTTACTTCAAACTTATCACAAAACAGATTTATATCATATAAAATTATAGTATAGTATGTATATGCAATATATTACAGTATAGGTAATAGTATCACTATATAATTGCTATATAAGCCAGTATTAATGAATATTTTTGATGACAAAGAAAATACTTCTGAAATCTGATATATTCAGCACACAACCGATCGCAATGTGTATTGTCTAGTTTAGCGAAAGTGTTACATTAAATTATTAAAACGACATTTAAACATCTTTCTTCAAATTTTAAGGAATTTAGTAAGCTTTTAGGCAGCATACCTGATGGCTTCATGCCATCCAAATTTCTTGAAAAGCTTACCAGTTACTTTTGGTAACAACAGAACTTGAATATCAAATTACAAGAATTCCCACCAATCCGTTCCGTAGATATGGTAAAAAATGTAAAATTGACCCCTAGTTAGATTTCCAACCCTTATCGTTTCAAAAAATTCATATGTTCATTGTTTTAACACTCTAAATAAAAGTATTAAATTTTAAGGAAATTATCTGATTATTTCCCTTTATATTAAAAATATAAGCTCGGCCTGCAAAAAGGCCCGCTTCCTGAGGCCTGATGTATTCCAATAATTCTTTATAACGTGAAATAGTCGAAATAAATTTATATATAAAATTTCATAAAAAATATAAAAATCGGTTCAACTAAGCTTGAGATACACGCCTGCACACAGATCGACACACCAGCAGGCCAACATATCTCTAAAATTGCTTATTTATCTTTCCGAAGCATGGAGAAAACCGTTATTAATGAGAACTCAGCATCAAAAATTTGTGCCATCACAACAAATTCGGTAAAATGGGAATGAGAAACTTTGCTTTGCAAAAAGTTTTAATTTAATTCTACATTTTCTTCCGGCTAAACGCCTTTACCTCATTGTTTTCACTGTTCATTAAAAAGTCTGCTATTTATAATCTATTTTCTGTGTCTACTTTTTCTCATTGATTTTCATTGAAATACAATCATGATAACTAATATATTCAATTAAAAAATTCTAATGAATCAAAATACACAAAAAAATTCACTTAAAACCTTTCTAACCTTAATAATAACATCTATTATAAATTTAAAAATAACGGACTTAATTACAAATCATTTTCAATAACGGTTTTGATTTTTGAATACAGAAAACTTTTAACAAAAATCGATAGATGGCACGGATTACTATTTTCTCTTTCA